ATATATCAACCTTTCGAATGAAAAGATTTCTCATTCAACAATTTGTAATACTCTCCAGCTTCATAAAAAATACAATTTCTAAATAGATTCAATTTAATACATTTGAACACTATAATCATTAAGTAAGTAAATAAGGTTAAATTAAAACAAATAATTTTATGAATGTAAGTGTCCAATAAATTCAACATATCATATATATCAAAATTGAAATTTTAAAATACACTTTAATAAACAGGAATGCTTTGAATAATATAGTCTTACTAAAGATAAGGTAAACCATTTTTAAAGATTATTTATTAAAATTTATGAGCCTTAAAAGAAGATAAAGAGTAGATAAAATAGGCGATGTTAAATTTAATTATTTTATAATTTTTCTAAATGATATTTAGCTGAAAATAGAATAAATAGTTAGACATTTATTAATACTTATGCCTTTATTTACAACTTTGGAAGATTCTTGTAATGTTTACTTTAGATTAAATATTAGTATTATTTAATTATTTTAAACCTCTACTGCTGATTTTGATAGGTCAATTCACAAATAAGGAATATAAAACTAATTATTTATAAATGATAAGATTCTACTTAATTAATTAATTATTATTAAAAGTTTTATCATTACTAATGATGACATTATAGTAATTCAATTTAATTAGAATTTAGGAAAGGATGTTGTAATGAAATAATTTGGGTAATTTTTGATGGGATTAAAGTTTATAATTTTTCTAAAATTATTATTCTTTTTTTTTAAAATACTTTCATGTTCTTCAAAAAGTATTCTTTCCTCTCTCTTAAATAAATATTATATTTTTTGTACTCACATAAATCCTTTATAATATTATATCTTCAACTTTAAACATAATTAATAATAGGTAGTAAGTCCATTGTTAAAAAATTATATGATTTATTAACCTTTCACCGATAAAGACTTTACAATTGATATCAATAAGACATTAAAGAAGTATGTTCAAGATGATACAGTTTAGATGTTGAATAAGGCCATATTTTTATATTTATCCATATTAACAATTTTTTCATTTATTGTCAAGACATTGAAATATGCTTAGTATTGAGTATAGAATATAAGAGATTGGTGATCATTAGATTTCACAATAGAGTCAATTAAGATTCTGAGATTACTAATATTCTATAATCTAACAATATATATAAGTATTTACTAATTTTAATTAAAATCAGAGATATCTCTATTAAAATAATATTAAATTCCCTTCCTTAAAAATCAATCAATATCAATATATTTAGATATTGAGTATTAATAACTTTTAATAAAATTTACAAAATTGAACTTTTTTGTTTTTATAATCATATAGTTCTTCTTTAATATTAAGTTATTTTATATAATGAAGATCCAAAAAGATTTTTTAATAATATAAATATATAACTATATTATTATCTAATAAATTAAAAGTAAATTTGAATTACAACTTAAATTTAGATTGTTTCAAGTTTAATTTATAACTTAAAAAATATGGATTTACATATATAATATTTATATATTCTCATGCTGGCAAACAACTTAATAATATATAAGCAACAAGATCTAATTAATATTTGATACTGGTTAATAATAGAATAGCATGGCTAAAAAGAATTGATTAATCACAATTATGAATAAGTATATTTCATAATCATATTTAATTTATTTTTAAAAAATGAATTCAAATTGATTAATACATTACTTTAATTATCTTTTTGAATCAGTAAGTTTTCAACCTTTCCTTTCTTTTGTCAAAATAATAGACTCTAATATTTTGATGCTTTGATTTAGAATAATAGCATTGATAAGTACCAAATTCTTATGATATCATAGAATATAAGATAACTTAATAATATTATAAATTATAAGAATGTCCTTTTAATTAGAAATAATAAGTAATAAAATAAAATTTTAACTAACATTCCTTCAAAGTAGAAATTCATATGCTATTTTAATAGGGTAAGTAAACTACTACATTTGTATAATTGATATTCTAAAACTAATTCTTATTACAATAATGGCTTACTATCTTAGTGATAATAATATAAATCTAATTAATTCATAAAATTGAAATAAATTAAAATTTAATATATATTTTTAATTTAATGATTATGTAATAATCTTATTTAATTTTGACAATCTATAAAGATTTGACAACCTTGTTATAATTAACTAATGAAATTTTGTAAATTTTGACAATAAAATACCTACCATTTGTATTCAAAATTAATCTCCCTCTTTATGATTCATAAGAAAAACATTTTGAATTAAAATTTATTTTATGACTATTAGGTGTATATAGAAATCAATATAAACTTATAATTCTACCATTTATTTTTATAAATAGCCTTTATTGAAAGATCATAAGAAGATTTTCAATTAAAATTATGGTCTTAATATCATAAATCTTTTTTAAAACAATCATTATTTATTAGTAATGTAAGTTAAGCAATTAATTTCAAATAGACAACCATTTCACATTAATTTTTCAATATTTATGTATTGCCTTATATTTTTTAACCTTAATTTAGGTTATTGATAAAACATTATGATAAAAGCTTTGTATTATAAGAATTTTATGCTATGCTTTTAATCTTATAGCTTGAGATATTAATTTATTACAATCAAAGAATATAAAAGATATTTGGTTTAAAATTTATATCTCAATAGCAAATCTTAATATATATTAAAAAACAGAACTTCATTCAAATTAAACGGATTAAAAAAATTATAGCTTTGTAAATCACAATTATTTAATAATCAACTCAATACATATTCCCAAATTTTCTGGGTGAATTCATCGAAATACCTTTAACAATCAGAACCTATTCTGTATTTAATGGCTTCAGAGGAGTATAATTAATTATATAACTTAGATTATCCATCTTTGCCAATCAAACATAACATAGTTTAATGACTACGTATTTCATATCTCGTCAAACTATATACATAGAATGATTTGGATTTCAGAGTAAGATATTTATCAGACCATTCCTTAATACGTTGATCTAAATTTAGCATACCTGAATAACCATCAGAGCATTAAAAGAATTTACTAGTTTTATTTAATAGTTTCACTCTATTTTCCCAACCTTCTAATTTTAAATTCTATTCTTTTTAAATTAAATGTTCATAATATTTCCATTAACAGCGATTTATAGTAATTAATATAGCATGAAATTTGAAATATAATCGCCATGGATTATAATCTTATTACATAACATTTGCTAAATTCTTAAACAGATCATAAAACTCTTCAAACTCTTTATCATATGTTTCAATTTTGAGTTTGTATTCCTGAATTAATTTTGAATACTGCTATATAGATTACATTAAGCGTTCCATTTTTTATTTTCCCTCATCGGAATTTCCTTTATACCAATAACGTTCCTAATCATATTACCATTCCGTATACTTTAGTACGGCATCCCACTACTTATTGATATTCTCTTAATACTCTTCATAAAAATTGTCTCTTTTATACAACCACTAAAACTTTTAGTTCAATTAATTTTTAGATACTGAAAA